TGTGGTGTGTTTTTAATGCATCACAGCCATTGGTACATTTTACGTTTTTTAAGTCATTCTGTATCACGCCATGTCATGTCAAGTATTTGTCACTAAATCTTGTCCAAAAAGATTCAACCCATGGTTTGCACTTCCTTTAATTTGAACAAAACCTCATTCATGTTAGCAGCACAAATGGCTAGGAATAATCTACGGATCAAATTCAATGTCAGTGATTATGATTATGCCAAAACAATGACTCCCGAATGATCATCTGAAGATGAAAAGTAAATTTTAATCTCAGTAGGACCAACATGATAAAATAAAAGGAAATCTCAATTACCTGCTGTGACACAATGGGATCTGAGCTGCTGTAGCCTTGGCGACACATGTCGATGACACGCGGTCAGAATTCATTCACTGAAGTCAATGTGAGCCAAACAGAATGAAATTGAACTGTTTTTCATCACTATGTCATGACCCCCAGGTGAGTGTGATATGAAGTCCACTGACACGGAGCACGTATCTGTGTCTCTCCCTGCAGCACTTACTTGACATGAGAGAGACGGAGGTTATTCTGCTGGAGTTTTATTCACGGCCAGTGCCACAGCACATACATATAAATGTGGGATTTAGCAGTTGGAAAGTGTAGTAACTAAGTTGTAATGTTTCATCTCCATCTTTGGACCTCGAGTGCTCCAGCGTAATTGAGTAATTTAGTGCGACACCTGATCCCAGGTTTAACAGCACTTCACTCGGATATTTGAAATCCCTTGTTCAGATGAGACTACACTCAAATAAAGCAGAAATAAACCATGGGTTTAAGTTTCTCTGCCACCAGGGAAAATTCATTCCATTGCAAAATTTGACCATGAGTTTGTCACAGGTCTCCAACCTGTGGCTCCTGAACAGCATGTGACCATTTAGCCTATTTGCACTGTCTAAACACCTACTGTGCGGCCCTGTACTAATTGATTTGTCTGTCAGTAGGTGCAGGCCGGTGCTTGGGGCCTGATCAATTTGAAAACAACCCCCTCACCACCCTCCCCCCCAAAAAAACCTTGACTAAAAATGCTACTTTCTTTTTTTTATACCTTTACAAAAGCTTACATTTTTCCCATTTGTTATGTTGCTAAAAGCTGCTTTGCCTGGTTCCCACTGGTCTACTTCATTTGCAAGAAGTACGCATTGTGTAGTCAGTAATGGGAGAGCTTCTCATAAAGCCATTCCTAAATAAACAGAACTGTTGCGAAAACATTTTTATGACTTGAATACTGCCGGAACGGGTTCTGCTGAATCATCAATAAGCTCTGATGTTCTTCTCTTTAGCTGACAGTACGGACCGTGCTCCGAGGTATCGTTCAAGTCTCTGACTACAGTTGCACCGACTACTGAGAAAATACAGTACATTTTTACATAATTTCTATCTAATATCTATTTTTTCTTAGAAAAAAACATCACATTAAGAAAAACAAAAAACAAAAGTAGATGGAAAAAAACTTTTGCTAATTGATTGTGCTATGGTATATCCCCAGTGTTAAAATATTCCATTAGAACTGGCATGCTTTCAAACAGTCTTGGCAGTCCATGGGCCACATCTTGAGAACCGATTCCACTAGGGTCAATAAAAACCCTAATGAAACTAAACACCCTAGGCTGGAGCTCTTCTCTGTGAGCACATTGCCCTTCTGGTCTGTGAACAGACAAAAGCTCACATCCGACGTGGCTCAGACAGGTACATGGGAAGTTCTCCTTCAGAGTGCTGTGCTCCTTTCCTTCCTGGCCCTGAGAGGATGAACTGTGGGCAGCTCAGTGTGAGCGGGAAGGATCCAGTTGCAGGCGGCTGAATCGGAGCTCTGTTGGGTCTCCCCTGGACACTGTCATAGCATGTTTGCCGAAGGCGGGTCAACGAGGACTTTCTTCGACAGAGGAATTTCACAGCACACGACGGCACAAAAATGTCCACACAAACCGACCCAGTCTTGTGACCTAGATCCCTTTTTGTAGAGAACAAAAGTTTATGTTGATAAAGTCAGGAAGAGGACGGTTGAACTGGCTTAAAAGTCTATTAAGAAATTAAAACCCATCATTACACTGAGCTGGAATTATAAGATCATTAAGAAATTAAAACCTTCTTCCAACTTCACACTGAGCAATTAAAAAGTTAAAACATCGGTGTGCACATTTTCATCTGTTTAACACATGGTGTTGTACGTTAACTCAGAGTGGGATTTAGCTATACTGATTTTTACGAGGATGGAAATAGTTTCCAGGCCTGACCAAACTGACTCCATCAACATTTGGTTTTTGCAGGTGAAATGCAGCGTTTATTCCAGGGTGCAAAAGAAATGTTCCCTTTGTTACCAGATCATTAAAGATATAGAGGCCAATATAAATGTCAGGTTTGTGTCTGTGTGTTTATATTCCCAAAAGAGCACGACGTATTCTGCTAAAAGATACTGTTGACCTCGCCCATGAACTTCTCACGCTCTACTTTTTGCTGGTCTTTACTGATGAGTTGATGGGTCACCGTGGTGATTTGAAGACCAGGCTGTTGAAAATACAATATTAAATGTTACATAATATTAAACAAAGGTTTCAATTTAAATAAATATTGTTGACAATTTAATAGGTTAATAAATATACATTACATATAAACTTTAAAAAAAATGTTTTGCATTAGGGTGATTCTGTTTGCTTAAAGTGCTGAAGTTCAGAAATGTTTTCTCAGTGAGTACTCGGCATCTTCTTCGGGCCGTAAAATAACTTGAAAGCAAATTTCTGCCCCCTGTTGGTTGCTGTTGCTGAACATCCTTTTTATGATATGCTGGGGGAAATTAGCTCATAATGAACAGTCGCTACAATTAGATGTTCCCCTCCTTTTCAGCAGGTGGCAGTGATGTAAAACCAAAGTGTAAGAGAGTAGATTAGCATGGAGAGCAACTAAAATTACTACATTTTGGGTTAAGGATGCAACATAGACTGATGTCCTCTAATGTTTAACATACAGAATTAATTAAAACATATATAAAGAAAATTGTAGAGCGTTAGGAAAAACAGTACTGGAACTGATGTAATTTGTTGAAAACACTGGGACTCAACAACAACATGTTGCCTTTTGACAACTCGCTGATGTAGAACTAGTCTAGGAATTTCTACCATCTTAAAAAATATTGTTGTTTTTCTTTGTTTGTGGTGAGGAGTCAAATGGCTCAAAGTGATTGACAGTTGAGTCATCCAAGTGGACGATGCCTGTCGTCTTTTCAGAACAACAAGGAAATACTCATTGGCTTCATCCATCCATCCATCCATCTTCAACCGCTTATCCGGGGCCGGGTCGCGGGGGCAACAGTCTGAGCAGGGACACCCAGACTTCCCGCTCCCTCGACACTTCCTCCAGCTCTTCTGGGGGGACCTCAAGGCGTTCCCAGGCCAGCCGAGCGACGTAGTCGCTCCAGCGTGTCCTAGGTCTTCCCCTAGCTCTCTTCCCAGAGGGACGACACCCGAGCACCTCCCGAGGGAGGCGTCCGGGGGTCATGCAATGTAAATGCCCAAGCCACCTCAGCTGACTCCTCTCGATGTGGAGGAGCAGCGGCTCTACTTCGAGCTCCTCTCGTGTGACAGAGCTCCTCACCCTATCTCTAAGGGAGCGCTCTGCCACCCTGCGGAGAAAGCTCATTTCAGCCGCTTGAATCCTTGATCTCGTTCTTTCGGTCATGACCCACAGCTCATGACCATACGTGAGGGTAGGAACGTAGATTAACCGGTAAATTGAGAGCTTCGCCTTTCGGCTCAGCTCCTTCTTCACCACAAC